AGTTTTAGGAGTTTGGGTTTAGCAGTAATCTGAAACAAGACCAGGCTAAGTGTTCGCAATAAAGCAAATAGAATCCTTGGTTCAATCAAAAGCAAAAAAAATAGGATCCTCAGGTTGTTTTCAACTTATAATCCTTTGGTTAGGCCTCATTAATTATGTGCACAGTTTTTGGGCCCGTATTACAAAAGGATATAAATTCTCTGGAAAATGACAAAAGGAGGATGACAAAATTGATCCCTTTTCAGAAAACCTTCCCCTAGGGGAAGACTAAGGGCCCTGAAACTGCACTCTAGAAAGACGAGAATTAGGGGGGATATGATTGAGGTGTATAAATGGGAAACAGAAATAAATAAAGGGGGTGAAAATAGTGTGCTGAAAAAATCTAGCCTGACAGGACTCGCAGCAATGGTTTTTAAATTGGAAAAATTCAGATTCAGGAAGGATTTAAAAGGAAAGTCGGTTTGGTAATGATTGTGGGTGAGTGGAACAAACTCCAAAACGTTAAAGGCCAAACGTTGGGTTTTCTTTTTAAAAAAGGTTGGATAAATACTGGGGATGTGGGTGGGGGGGGTTGGGCCTGATAGCTTTTGCTACCGGCGGTTGCCGTGTTCCTCCCTTTTTGAACGACGGGGCCCCTCAACAAATTTTTAACCCGGTTCGCGGTTGGGGAGATAGCTGTAAATGAGGGTGTGTACATGCGCCGAATAAGGTTATGTACTCTTTGCATGCCACACAAAGTCATAGAGATAAATTATCAGAAGAAGACTGGTGGAGCATCTAGGAAGTAATAAGCTTATACACGACAACCAACAGAGTTTCGGGGAAGAAAAATCCTGTGTCACAAAGCTACTGGAGTTTTACGAGGAGGTGACTGAAGTAAGACGCGAGAGAGAGAGATAGAGGGGTGGGTAGATTGCATTTTCTTGGAATGTAAGAAGGATTTTTTACACAGTTCCACACAAGAGATTAATGAAAAGGCTAGGGAATCAGGCAGGCATAACAGGAAAGGCACTGAAATAGATCAGAGAATACCTGACAGGAAGGCAACAACGAGTCATGGTACGTGACGCGTTGTCAGAGTGGGCGCCTGTGACGATCACGGTTCCAAAGGGGTCAGTCCTAGGACCAGTGTTGTTTCTAGTATATGTGAATGACATTCACATGACGGAAGGGATAGATTCAGAAGTGTCCCTGTTTGCAAACGATGTGAAGCTAATGAGGAGAATTCAATCGGATTAGGATTAGGTAAGACTACAAAGGGATCTGTACAGACCAGGACCCCGAAATGACTCCCGGAGTTTAACCCCACCAAGTGCAAAGTCAGGAAGATTGGGAAGGGCAAAGAAGACCGCAGACCGAGTACTGCAAACCTCATTCAAGGAAAAGGATCTTGGGATGAGTATAATACGGAGCACATTTCCTGAGGTGCACATCAGCCAGATAACTGCTGCATCATTTGGGCGCCTGGCATACCTATGAATAGCGTCCCTATGCCTAAGTAAGGAATCGTTCAAAACTCTGTACACCGTGTACATCAGGCCCATATTGGAGTATACATCATCAGTTTGGAGCCCACACCTGGTCAAGCACTTCAAGAAATTAGAGAAAGTGCAAGGGTTTGCAACAAGACTAGTCCCAGAGCTAAGGAGAATGTCCTATGAAGAAAGGTTAAGGAAAATCGGTCTCACGACGCTGGAGGACAGGAGGATTAGGGAATACATGATAACGGCATATAAAATACTGCGAGGAATTGACATGGTGGACAGAGACAGGATGTTCAAGAGATGGGGCACAACAAGAAGGGGTCACAGGTGGAAGTTGAAGATTCAGATGAATCACAGGGATGTTAGGAAGTACTTCTTCAGTCACATAGTTGTCAGGAAGTGGAATAGTCTGGAAAGTGTAGTGGAGGCAGGATCCTAACATATCTTTAAGAAGAGGTATGATAAAACTCATGGAGCAGAAAGAGTGACCTAGTAGCGACCAGTGAAGAGGCGGGGCCAGGAGCTGTGAATTGACCCTTGCAACCACAACTGAGTATAACTAGGTGTGTAACACACACACACACACACACACACACACACACACACACACACACACACACACAGTCACACACTCATTCTCCGTCTCCCTCTCTCCTCTTTCTCTCTCCCTTTATCTATCTAGGTACAATACCACAAACCAACTGGTATTGTCTGTGCATCATCTAAATTACCTTAAATCACAGGTAAACATTTACATTTACTTCTGTTGATCCTAGAGGAAAGGAAAAATTGTAAACTAAAAGAATAAAAACGTGAAGTGGAAAGAGAAGGCGGGTTGAATTACATAAATATGGAAATAAAAATGTAATGCAATGTAAAAGAATTATATTTAAGAGAGTTGAATACTCTCTGAAATCTATAAAAATATGATGATTACTTTGAACAGGAGAAAAGGACAATTATGGCTTAAGTTATACCTCAATGGAATTAAAAATACTGAAGGAGAATAAGTAAAAAATGTGGGAAAAGGTAGAACGGGTTCGTAATAATGAACAAAAAAATAAGAGAAACGAAAGAATCAATAGCGGAGATGCTCTCAGGACACCAGGAGGCACAGGTGATAAAATAGTCAGCAAGGAAACTGATGACAAGAGACAAGGCAGTCTGGTGGAGAAGAAGAAATGTAAGAGAGAGAGAGAGAGAGAGAGAGAGAGAGAGAGAGAACCACAAAGTCTCTACTGACTTAGAAGTAGATAGTAGATCACGAATGAGATAAAAGGGGAAACATAAGAGTATATCAATCACTGAGTGTACAAGTCGACCAGGAATTAATTCATTCTGAAAATTTTCATAAGAATCAGAAAGTTTAATCAGGCATTATTTGCCCTCTGTTTATGCCTGATTAAATTTTCTGGCCACAAGAAATTCAAAATTTGATCTTGTGACAAAAACATTCTTTGGAGATACAAGATGTCTCTATGTATCCCTGGATCCAGATAGTCCGGAAATGGAAAGGGAATATGTGGGGGACGAGGAAGAAAAAAATCAGCAGTTACAAAAGAGACAGAGGCGGATTTAGTGACAAGAGACAGTTCTCACCCTCAAGAAATCCGCTAAATCCTGCGCTTCCTCTCCATCTCTCACAAGACAACTCGCATCCCACCCGGCATCTCCCCTCCATCTCCAACTATAAACCTGACCCCTCGTTCCTTAGCAATGCCCACGTCAAGCACAACCTCACCTCTCCCCTCTTTTCACACGAGCAGTGAAACATGTGCTTTAACATCACGAGTCAGAGCATAAAACTCAAAAGATGGCCCCCTCAAGGAAGGTTCCTTGATGTTGGTGAGGGGCTCTTGATTTAGGGAATTGAATCTGTGCTCCAGTTCCCCGAATTAAGCCTGAATGCCTTCCACATCCCCCCTCAGGCGCTGTATAATCCACCGGGTTTAGCGCTTCTCCCTTGATTATAATAATAATAATCAAAAGATGGCACCAATGTAGATAGATTACCATACAACACTCATGAATTGAAAGAACAGAGAAAAGGCAACTATAAATAATGTCAACACAAAGAAAACAGAGATGATCATACATGTTCTCTGCCAAGCAGAATATCAAGGAACGAGGAAAGAAAGGAGACGTGGGGGAAACGAAAGAGATTTACCTTCAGACTGTCACCGAAGTGGCTACTTCATAGTGCACCCCATGTCCATCCTGTGGATGGTAGCGCAAGAATATATGGATACACGAGAGGTCTAGTAATTAGGCCCCAAAAGGGTTTATGTCTGGATTTATATCTACAGTTCACTTATCTGTTACAATTTATTAAGCAAATTTTGGAAATTTGCTTAATAAATCTGGTATTTGAAGGAATTTATTGATACTCAGAAACCAGTCGTATTTTGGAAAGGTGAGAGTGAAACAGAAATGAGTTAAATAACTATACTGGGCACAATATAGCAGACACAGTCGGGTAGCAGAGATATACAAACCCACCCCCAAAATATGGGGTAGGGGCGATAAAGACCAGGGCAGGAAAAACGCAAAACTAGAGAGAATTTGGGACCTAATGAGGAAGCGAGAAGTGAGAGTTAAGATGATGGGGTTGGATGGGAACTTTGATCAATATATCAAAGAACACGAGAGAGAGAGATGAGAAAGAGAGGAGAGAGAGAGAGGGAGAGCATGAGAGAGAGTGGATGAGAGAGAAAGAGTGAGGGATAGAAAATAGAGTAGAGAGAGAAAGAGAGAGAGAGAAAGAGAGAGAGAGAGAAGCAAAGATGAGCCAGCAAGGCCGGCTCTAGTACATATTTACTAGTGCAGCTGATATAATTAGAACAGAATACAAGAAACCTCTGGGTACAAGAGACCAAACACTTCTCAAATTCATTCATTTGTGGATACAAACATTTAGAAAGAACTAACAAGTCTGTGCAGGGAGGAAAAAAAATCATTGTGAACCTTGAAGGGATTAGATCATTCCCGAAGTGTACTGAAAAGGAAACTGGAAGACAAGCCAACGAATGAGTGATTAGTATCAGAAGAAGAGGAAGTATAGGTCTTTAAACATACACAGAGACAGGACGAAGCTGACAGACAGACAGACAGTACGACAGACACACAGGACACAGAGACAGACCAGACAGCACACACCACACACACACAACACACACACACCACACCACACACACACACACACACACACACACACACACACACACACACGAGGCTTCGATCTCACCTTGTACACGTCGAGCTGACCACAGAAGGCGTCGAACTGCGTGTAGAGGTTCTGTAGCATATTGATGACCATTAATGGCGTGGCTGTCGAGCAGATAGAAGTGAAACCCACTATGTCACTGAAGAGCATAGTCACTTCGTCGTGTTTCTGCGCCTCAAGAACTTCCCCTGCGTATATGACACCACCACCAGGGGTTAGTATACGATTTTTACCTCACTCCCTCTGTCACTCTCGCTCTCACTCTCTCTATTGCTATTGTTGTCGCGCTCTTTTGCTCTCATTAGGTTTTGCTCTCACTTTCTCTCGCTCTTTGGCCCTTGGTATGGTATATCGCTCTCTCTCTCTCTCTCTCTCTCTCTCTCTCTCTCTCTCTCTCTCTCTCTCTTCTCTCTTCTCTCTCTCTCTCTCTCTCTCTCTTACAAAGGATTTTACAAGATTAGGTTAAAGGTTCCCAACTTTATTTACAAGCTAAGTCTTTTTATTGTTATGAGACTTACAAATAGGGAACAGGATGATGTTGGAGTTTCTCTCTCTCTCTCTCTCTCTCTCTCTCTCTCTCTCTCTCTCTCTCTCTCTCTCTGTATCTCCCTTAAACACAGATCTGGGTACAGGAAATTAATCATTCTCTATCCCTCAGATGTCACAGTGTTGAGATGTTCCCTGATGCTCACTTCCTCAAACCTTGTTACCAACACCTGCTTTGACTCAGGAAATCTTAATACCGTGGTTTACGTGTCTTGACGCTGGTGAAGAGCTCTTGATCCATGAAACTGAAGCTACACATTGCCCAGGTTATGACTTGTGGGTTTAAATTACTATAATCATGGGAAGCGCTAAACCAGTAAGATTAAATAGTATGGGTTGAAGCTTTTTCATGAATGTATGTAATGATTTCTCTTTCAGTCTCTATTTCTCTCAGTTCTTGTTTAAGATTCTATGTTCTTTTCTTCTTGCCATCATTTTTTCCCCCTCTCCATCCTCCAGTTTCAATTTTATGTTCCCTTATCTCTATTACTTTGTCTCCTCCTTGCTTTGATTTCTTCAGCTCTCCTCTCCTCCTATCTCATCCTATTTTCTCTGTTATTGTATATTGTCTTTCTAAATTTATTATCCTCTCTCCATGTGACTTCATTTCTTTCTCTTGTCCCGTGTATTTAAGTCTTTATTCCTCTTCTCCTCCTGATAATAATCGCTTTCTCTGCATCCTGTCTCAGTTCTTTCTCTCACTCTATTCCTAATATTTTTCGTTCCCCTCGTATCCTGTTCAATTCTTTATCCATATCTCTCCCCTTTTGAATGAAAATTCTTTCCTTTTCCTCTGTCTTCGTTCTTCATCCAACTTTCTCCTGACTTTTTATCTTCCTGTCTTCCTATTGCGTATAATCTACATTTGTCCCTGTTCCTGAGTCTTATTTTCTCTTATTCTCCTCAATTCTTTAAATTTTTTGTTGTTGTTATTCCCATCCATCAAAATCATCTTCACTATTAAATATTTATTTTTCCCTTATCAGTTTTGTGTTACAAAGTAATTTAAACATTATTTTTTCATTAACAAGGTAATCGTTAGATAGATTACTAATCATTTCTCGTACATTGCGTTAACATTAGACACAATTGTTAACATTCAAGGGGAAGCGCTACTCGAAGGGGTCAACTGCGCCTGGTACGACATAGGGAGATAATGATCAGTTCACGAACTGATGTAATGGATCAGGTCTCGTGCACAGGCATCGACGCACCTCCCGCTGAAAGGCATTTAGTCATCTTTTGTTGGCAATATTTTATCATGGTCAGAGGATAATGTGTACGAGTTTTTTCACTTTGCGAAGGACAGTATCATTAAAAAGTTTAATTTTTATTTACACTGGCAGATCTAATGCTCCAGTACCGGAGGACGGCATAGATTCTTACATAGCTGGTGCCCAGTTAAACTGGCGAGCATGATTCTAATAGCTGGTGCATGTAACTAGCGAGCATATGATTCTTACATAGCTGGTGCCCAGTAAATTGCGAGCATAAGATTTTACATAGCTGGTGCCAGTAATAGCGAGCTAGCTTCTTACATAGCTGGTGACCAGTAAAATAGCGTGCATAGATTCTTTCCATAGCTGGTGCCCTGTAACTAGCGAGCATGATTCTTACATAGCTGGTGCCCAGTAACTAGCAAGGATAGGATTCTTACATAACTGGTGCCCCGTTATCTAGCGAGCATTGATTCTTACACTAGCTGGAGCAGTTGACTAGCGAGCATAGGATTCTTACATAGCCTGGTGCCCAGTACACTAGCGAGCTATAGATTCTTAATAGCTGGTTGACCAGTAACTAGCGAGCAAGTTCTTACATAGGCTGGTGCCCAGTCCTAGCGAGCTCGATTCTTACAGCTGGATTCCCCAGTAACTAGCGAGATAGGATTCTTACATAGCTGGTTGCCCAGTAGTACTAGCGAGCATAGATTCTCAATAGCTGGTGCCCAGAATAGCGGAGCATTAGATTCTTACTTAGCTGGTGCCCAGTAACTAGCGCAGCATAGTTTCTTACATAAGTGCAGTGCCAGTAACTATCGAGATAGATTCTTCATAGATCGTGCCCAGTAACTAGCAAGGAATAGATTCTTACATAACTGGTGCCAGTAACTAGCGAGCATTGATTCTTACCATAGCTGGTGCCCAGTGACTAGCGAGCATAGATTCTCCACCATAGTGGTGCCAGTAACTAGCAGAGCATAGATTCTTACATAATGGTGCCAGTAACTAAGCGGCATAAGATTTACATAGCTCCCCCGTGCCAGTAACTAGCGAGCATGATTCCTCACATAGCTAGGGAGCCAAGTAACTAGCGAGCATAGATTCTTACTAAACTGGTGCTAGTAACTAGCGAGCATAGATTCTAAACATAACTGGTGCCTAGTTAACTAGCAGAGCATAGATTCTCACATAGCTGGTGCCAAGTAACTAGCGAGCAGAGATTCTAACATAACTTGGGTTTGCCTTAGTGTTATTAGTAGTATACTAGCGAGCATAGATTCTTTACATAGCTGGAGCCCAGTAAACTAGGAGCATAGTTCTCACATAGCTGGAGCCTGTAATAGCGAGCATAGATTCTTACATAGCTGGTGCCCAGTAACTGCGAGATAGATTCTTTACATAACTGGTTCCAGTAACTGCAACAGATTGATTCTCACCATTAGCTGGGAGCCAGTAACTAGCGAGCCCTAGATTCTTAATAGCTGTGGTGCCCAGTAACTAGCGAGCATAGATTCTTACCATTAGCTGGTGCCTAGGTAATAGCGAGCATAGATTCTTCATAGCTGGGTGCCTAGTAACTATAGCGCATAGATTTCTCACATAGCTGGGTGTCTAGTAATAGCGAGCATAGATTCTCACAAAGCTTGGTGCCCATAACTAGCGAGCATAGATTCTCACATAGCTGGTGCCAAGTAACTAGCGAGCATAGTTTCTTACATAGGCTGGGTGCCAGTAACTAGCAAGCATAGATTCTTACATAAATGGTGCCTAGTAACTAGCGGCATAGATTCTTACATAGCTGGTGCCTTAGTAACTAGCGAGCATTAGATTCTTACATAGTGGTGCCCAGTAACTATCGAGCTGGATTCTAACATAGCTGTTGCCAGTAACTAGAAAGCATAGATTCTTACATAACTGGTGCCTAGTACCTAGCGAGCATAGATTCTTACATAGCTGGTGCACTCCCAGTAAAAACTAGCGAGCATAGATTTTACATAGTGGTGCCAGTAATAGCGAGCATAGATTCTTACTTAGCTGGTGCCCCAGTAAAAGCAAGCATAGATTTTTACATACCTGGGTGCCTAGTAACTAGCGAGCATGAAATCTTACATAGAAGGTGCTAGTAATAGCGAGGCATAATTCGTACATTACTGGGTGCCTAGTAACTAGCGAGATAGATTCTCACATAGTGGTGTCTAGTAAACTAGCGCGCTCATAGATTCACACATAGCTGGTGCCCAATAACTAGCGGAGCATAGATTCTCACATAGATGGTGCCCCAGTTAACTAGCGATGCAATTGATTCTACATAGCAGGTGCCAGTAATAGCGAGCATTGATTCTTACATAGCTGGTGTCCAGTAAACTAGCGAGCATAGATTCTTACATAGCTTTGGTGCCAGTAACTAGCGAGCATAGATTCACATAGCTGGTGACCAGTAACTAGCGAGCTATGCATAGATTCTTACATAGGCTGTTTCCAGTAACTAGCGAGCATAGATTATTACATAGCTGGTGCCCAGTAACTAGCGAGCATAGATTCTTACATAGCTGGTGCCAGTAACTAGCGGAGCATAGATTCTTACATAGCTGGTGCTGTAACTAGGCGGGCATAGTTCTTACATAGCTGGTGGCCCGTAACTAGCGAGCATAGATTCTTACATAGTGGGGCCCAGTAACTGCAAGCATGATTCGTACATAAATGGTGCCTATCCTAGTAATAGCGAAGCATAGATTCTTACATAGCTGGTGTAGTAACTAGCGGAGCATAGATTCTTACATTTGGTGGTGCCTAGTAACTAGCGAGCATAGATTCTCACATAGCTGGTGTCTAGAAACTAGCGGCATAGATTCTTCACCTAGCTGGTGCCCAATAACTAGCGAGCATAGATTCTCACATATGATGGTGCCAGTAACTAGCGAGCAATTAGATTCTTACATAGCTGGAGCCCAGTAACTCGCGAGCCTAGATTCTTACATAGCTGGTGTCAGTAACTAGCGCAGCATTAGATTCTTACATAGCTGGTGCCCAGTAACTAGCGAGCATAGATTCTCAACATAGCTTGGTGCCAGTAACTGCGAGGCATTAGATTATTCATAGCTGTTGCCCCGTAACTAGCGAGCATGATTCTTACATAGCTGGTGCCCAGTAATAGCGAGCATAGATTCTCATAGTGGTCCAGTAACTAGCGAGCATAGATTCTTACATAGCTGGTGCTAGTAACTAGCGAGGCATAGATTCTTACATAGCTGGTGCCCTGTAACTAGCGAGCATAGATTCTTACATAGTGGTACCAGTAAACTAGCAAGCATAGATTCTTACATAACAGGTCCTAGTAACTGCGAGCATAGCATTCTTACATAGACTGGTGCCTTAGTAACTAGCGAGCATTAGTTTCTTACATAATGGTGCCTAGTAACTAGCGAGCATAGATTTTCTTACATAGCTGGTGCCTAGTAACTAGCGAGCATAGATTCTCACATAGATGGTTGTCTAGTAACTGCGAGCATAGATTCTCACTAGCTGGT